CAACTCGACCCACTTAACCTTGCCAACCGACTGAACCCAAAAAAAAAAAAATGGAAAAAACCGACCCAACTCGGGCGGGTTGGGTCGGGTCGGGTCGGGCGGGTTTTTGCCCACCCCTACCAACAACCAGCTTATCACTTCACCATTACCTTTAGCCATCACTCACAAACAATTTGACATATGGCACTTTAGGCTAGGCCATGTTTCTAACTTTAGATTACTTTCTCTCAAGAAAATTGATCGTTCCATTACTCTTGATGGTACAAACATTTGTGATATTTGTCCTCTAGCAAAATAAAGAAAGATTCCATTATCTGTATCCTAACACAAATCCAATAAGAGTTTTGAATTGATTCATTGTGATATTTGGGGACCCTTTAGCACTCTTTCTTATTCTAGTTTTAGATACTTTCTAACTATTGTGGATGACTTCACAAGATGCACATGGGTATATATGATGAAAGTAAAATCAAAAGTACTACATCTACTTAAAACCTTTTGCAGAATGGTAGAAAACCAATTATTTGCCTTAGTTAAAATCATACGTTCTGACAATACACCTGAATTTTTACAACAAACATGGCATCTTACATCAAAGAAGTCGTGTAGAAACTCCACAACAAAACGGAGTTGTGAAAAGAAAACATCAACACCTCTTGAGCACTGCTAGAGCATTAGGTGCTGTTCTCTTTGTCATTTTTAACCCGTTTTTTGTTTTATATTTTTCAAAATGGTGAAAACGAGTTTTCTTACTCCTTTTCGAAAACGAATTTTCCAAAACACAAAAAATATTTGTGAAGAAAACACAAAACGACCTTTTGGCCGTTTTGGGCATTTTCTTCACAAACATAGTGAAAATAGAAAACACAGGAAACGATCCTGTTTCCCCCAAACTTCTCCTCCCTCATTTCTGCCAAGCCACACTGACAGCCACATTCCCACCCTCTAAACTCCGATCAACCTCCTCCAAGACGGCCGGATTTATATACCATTGTGAAGCCCCCAATCCACTCTTCAATCACCACACAAACAATAATCCAATCAGATACCAAAATCGATCAAAAATACCCTCAAAAACTGATTCGGCACAAATTGATTCTGCCGAAATCTTGACCTTCGGCAACACCCAAGGTCGCGCACCACCACCGGACGATTTCCCACCCCCAGACGACTCCAGCCATGGCTCAAAACTCACCGACGGCTTTCGTAAAATCAGTCAATTCTGGGAGATATCGAAGGCGGCTTCCATGAGATCGGATTTTTTGGAGATAATCGAAGGTAACCCATGGTAGTATTGGCGCCTTGTTGAGAGGAGTGGATTGGTGGTGGTTCGCCATCGGAAAGGTGGCCGTCGGCAGTGTTTATTGGCTAAAATAGTGAGTGCTACCACGATTTTTTTAGCTGTTTCCGGCTAATTTTTCGTCAGTTAATTGGTGGATGTTGTAGAGGGAGGTCAGAGGGTTCGACTGAGGCTGGGATCTAGTGGTCTAGGTGGTGGGTGGTGGCCGGTTTGTGAGGTAGAAACGGTGGCTGTGGAGGGGACGATTTTGGAGAATGGCAAAAATAGAAAACAATGTGAACGGTTTTTGGAGTGATGTTTTGAGAAATATTTTTAGAAAATGATAAAAAGAACACGTTTTCAATTATCTCAAAATAAACACTTAAAACACAAAATACAAAATGATTTCAAAACTCAAAGCACAAAATCGAAACACAAAGAGAACGACACCTTAATTTTCCAAGTAAATCTACCTTTCACCTTTTGGAGTGATTGTGTACTCACTGCTGACCACATCATCAACAGAATTCCCACACCCCTTCTCCAAAACAAGTCTCCATTTGAAGTACTCTTTGGCAAAACCCCCAACCTTTCACACCTAACAGTATTTGGCTGCCTTTGTTTGCATCTACTTTAACTCATCACAGATAAAAATTTGATCCCAGAGCAATCAAATACTTATTCTTAGGTTATCCCTCTGACTTCAAGG